GTTATCTGTAATGCTAAAGAACCATTCTGCTGTCAATAATGAGATGATGTGAATAACATTACAAATTAAATTTTAGCAGCAGTAACAAAGATGACCCGAAGCTAATTCTCCCACAGCAGATGGGGAAGGTTTGATTACAGAATAGTCTATATTTATTTTTAGGATCTCCATTAGCTGACGCCTCAGGGGCTTTATGAGAAGCACGAGAACAAGCAACAAAATTTTTACCGAGCAGTCTTTGCCACAAAACCCATCATTTCAAGGAAATGTCATAGGTAGAAGACAGCTCAATAAAATCATGAATACGAGCTCTCATTTCATGGTTTGCTGGGATTGATAACAATGGTGTAGTGCATAACGATTCAATGGACCATCCATTCACTTTCAAAAATACCTATTAGCAGCCGACAGATATCGGATATCATTGCAGCCGTCACCTCATTTGCAAAGACAGACAAGTCCCTGGTGAAATGCCAGATCGGTCACACTCATTTCATGGCTCATTAATGCAATTATTCAGCCTCTATGGGCTGATGAATAATATGTTTGTGAGTGTATATGTCTTTCACATGGTTAGTATAGACAATATAAGACGATGACAGCGTATTTCGCTGGTACTTTATTTCCTCCAACGCTGATTTTAACCAGAGAGCTGCTGGTTTCGCTTACAGAGGACAAACAAAACCTCTGACCCTCTAGGATCAGTGTTCAGTTCAACAGCATGCAAAGTAGCACCGTCGTTTGTGTCACTGACAACGTGTCAACAGCCAAGATCAGGTCAAGGACAGAAGAGGTACGGACAGGGAATAAAAAGGGATAAAAGCGAGATGGATGAGAGCAGAAAAAAAAGAGAAGGGATAATGAAAAGAAACGCAAGTCAAAGACACACACGGCCTCTGAGCCGGTGCTCGACATCCATCCTATTAGTTAATGTGTCACTCTAACGCCAAACAGGCAGTGACAGTGAGTAGCCCGGCCATACACACTCACAAAGAGCTGCCTGAACCAATACTAACACTGACTAACAAGGCTGCACAGAGAAGACAGAAGGGAGAAAGGAAAGGAAAATGGAAGGGAGGGCAGGAAGCAATCTGATAAATCACTGATAGAGAGCAAAGAGCAATAATGGAGGAACTCCGCATTACCAAGAGGATGAAAGAAGAGAGAGGGTTATTATTAAAAAGAGATGGAGATGGGAAAAGAGGTAAATTTGGTCAATCAAATGACAAAATGGAAGAAAAAAAAGACAGAGCTGATAAAACGTCAGGAAAAAAGGAGGAGATAAACAATCACATTTGATTGATAACAGTCGCTGTGGTGTGAGAGATCTGTAATAACCTCATCAACATGATTCCCCCCCGTAGGTTTCAGAGCTTGAAGAAGGCTGACAAACGCATCTTATCTACGCCATCTGTCACTAAATCACTGCTCGGACAACTGGGAGTGGTGGGACGAGGGGAGAGGCTGTATGACCGTTTCAGTTATTGAAACTGGCAGTTTTTAGGCAGCAAGCTAATGAGCTACTGGAAGAGCGGAGTCGAAGGCAGGTGTTGAGCTCATAAAGTAGCTTTATGTGCATATGGGCAATGTTGGAGCAGAACCTGCACCCGCACACACACACATATGAGCAAAACTCAATTTCCTGCCAAAATGACACACGAGCACATGGGTGAGTAAACTTGCAGTGTGAGTCTACAAAAGCACACACAGAAGCAACCAAATGTATAAAGCTTAGTTCTCTTCTTTTTTGCTGCTCCCATTGGATTTGTATGAGAAAATTAACACTTACGTGACATCTTTTTAGTAGATATTTGAAGATAATTATTTTAGGCATTTACGCAATTGCCAAAACGTGGCACAAAACAAACATTTTCACACTGCAAGACTAAAACGTCCAAAGAAAACAATGACAACTTTTAACAAAAGGAGGGGTGCATCAGTCCAGTACACCAATCAGTAGTAGCACTGATATTGGCCAGATGTCACAACCATTCATTTTGTCAATGTCATTTTAAAATTCACGTTTCCACTATCAATTACATTCATTAAGTCACAGCAGGCTGTTGGCACTGGATATGGCCAGATGCTCTAAGAGGAGGTAAAAGGATCAGTATCAGGAGAAAAAAATTAGGATCTGTGCATTTTTAATCAAAATATAAAAGGTGTGTCAAGAAAGCCTTGGTATTGCATTCTTTTTACAGAAAACCTTCCAGATTGCAACCATTTGAATACCATTTGCCCTCCAAGCCGTTGAGGAGAAACTATGGTGGCTGCGAAACTCACAAAAAAAAAGCTTAAGGCCCTATCTAGTGCCAGTGTTGGGTTTGTCCGTTCTGGGCTAATGTTGAAACATGGTGGACTCAGTAGAAGAACTTGAAAACATGCCTATATTATATTCAAGTCTAACCCCAGTCAAGATTATCCACCTGTTTTTGCTTCAGACAGGAGTCTAGATGTAGTGTACTGAGAGTTGGAAAGATAATTTAATAGGTTTCCATTGAAGGCTTTGAACAACTCTTAGTTTGGCCCCTCATAAGAGACCAGTTTGCCAGATACCCTACCAGGAGGGTCATGGGGCGCCTCAATCCTCCACCATGATGAGGTCACGATTCCTGGAGGGACTCCACTATTACAACTATTACAGAGAGATAGAAGATACAAGCAGCTGCATGGCATGTTTTCTTGCCACAAATTTATTCAAAAACTAAACGTTTTTTTTAATTTAATGACAATATTTGCATAACAGCTGCCAGCTTGAAATCTGGAAGCAAAGACCAAGCAAGTGTATACAAAGCAGCACGAGGTTGGTTCGTCCAATCAGCTGTAGGTTCAAGATGATGCCTCAATGGATCGACACATACTATTTGAAATGTCCTGCAATGAGCAAAGTGCAGTGTAATTTTTCCAAGCTTGCTTCTGGTGTTGGGTGCCATAATCAAATCACAGAGTACACCAAACTCAATGTCATAAATTGAGCTAAAGCGTTGGTAGTGACCCATTGAGCTCTCACCACCAAATCTCAGCAGGAGCATTTGCACAAGATGTAACATTTCTCCAAATTTAACTTGAAATCAAGCAAATCTGACTAAATTTGCTGGTTCCAGCCTTTCAAATGTGAGCATTGGCAATATTTCTTGGTTTTATATCACTGTGGATGAAATATCTTTGATAGGACTGGAATTGTACTACTACTCAGACAAAACAAGATGTCTGAAGATGTGATCTTGGGTCCAGGTCCTGGGAACTTGCTACGGGCATTTTTCACTATTTTATGATGCACTTAATTTATTATTGAAAATATAAATGAGTTACAGCCCCAGTCTATTAACCCCCATCCAGAGCTTTTATACAATCACACATATATCGTACTCTGTTATAATATGCTGCCTAGACACAGCAAGACATGTACATGAGATTCAAGAAGCTGCATTATCTTGAGGCTGTAAATGGAAAAAAATAATCTAGTGCTGATGTAAATAACAGTCTGCGACACGCAATTTACTTCAATTTTATTTGGTCCGGATTGCCTGAAATTGGTCTGGCTGGAGCGGCTCCAGCAGCCATCACTCAGACATGAAAGATATGATCAAAAATAATAAAAGAAAATAGAATCAGCAGCTGATAGACAATTTCTGCTGACCCTGAACGGTTCAAGTGAGTATTGGTTGAGGTTCCTCTCTGAAGCTGGTGAGGAAGATTCAGGCTATTTCTCTGTCTCTCTCTCAATTGTACAACTGCATCCCTCCAGCACTGTGAGCAAACAGCATGGCAGGCTGGAGACACACCTCTCTCAAACACACACACACACACACACACACACACACACACACACACACACACACACACACAGTTGGCAGGGCTGGGTTGTCTCCCTGGAGGCCAATTCATAGCTAGATCTTCACTGAAAACTGAGGAGCTGTAAATTGTTTCCCCTCTTCTCCCTCAGCTTAACTGCCAATTAGACTATCCAGATCTGACAATGGCCACTTTACCACCATACACACACACACAAACACACACAGTAGCCTATATCAAGCTCAAAAGCAGCATTCCTGTAGAGGATGATACTCAAGGCTAAAACCTGATCCACCATGCTTCCTCTTAGTCTCATTTTATCAGCAAATTCAGCAACCAATGGCTTTTAGCAGCAGGTATAAATAGTAAAAAAAAAAAAAAAAGAAAGAAAGAAACACACGACAGGAAGTCACATTAATTGATTTTAAGGCTTTATTTTCATGATCAGGGGATGTAGGGTTGAAAGTGGAGATGTGGAAAACGACAAAACATTGTGCTCAGTGTGGGTGGTTAAAGGTATTTGGATAAGACCGCTTGTGAGGCGCAGAGGGCGGACATTTAACAGGTGAAATGTGCGAGCTGGGACCAATTTGCTATTTCAATCACACACCCATAGTTGGTCAGATCGATCAAACCACACACACACATTCATTCATTCACGGGGAACATATTTCCACCTAGGCTACACGGTTTGCAATCTAACTATCTCTGGATAACTATTAAGATCTAAAATATTACAGAAATTGAACACTGAATATGGAATGAATGAGCCAAAGTGTCTAACCTATAAACTCCCTCTGAGTCCCAGACACATCCTCTAATAGCCTAGAAATTACTTAAAGAATATAAGCAAGAAGATCAAAGTGCTTTTTTGACAATGAAAAAAAAAACTGATTTCTGATCAAGCACCTTGATCTCAGCTGGGTTTTATCCCCCTTCACACACACACACACACACACACACACACACACACACACACACACAGGAGAGCTCGGTAGCAATACGCGCCTGTTGCCTCTATTAAAACACCAAATTTCAGCCTTCATCAGACCCGAGAGTCACAACTGTTGCTCAATCAGCGCACCAGCTCTGTGCTCTCTGAATACGCTTTAATATCACCCCCAAATAAAAAGCGCGTTCAAACAGCATCTATTCACATAACAGGTGGATGCTGATCATTTAGGAGAATCGTACAGTAAACTTACATGTTTAAGTTCTTGCATGCGGTCCTTCATGGTTCCGGTAAATCACTCTTATTCCCTTCAGTTCCCGATGTCTTGTGGATGTGTGAGATGATGGAGCGGCGGGGCGGAGACCGACTGGATGATGCCGGGGAGAGGATGTGCGTCTGGCGGAGGCGAGAGGCGGTGATTTCCCTTCCTTTGAATACTGGACGCTGGGATGGTGGGACCACTTTACAGAGCCGGGTGACGCGCACTAAAGGTGAGGCGAGGCCTTCCGCCGTTAACCCATTACACACCCTCAACTTCCTCCTCAAACCGCACTAATCTATCTTTTTTATTTATTTAAATCTCTTCTCCAAGTTTCTGTCTGCTGCAGTTAAAGTCTGTCCAACAGTTCGGAGGCTTGACTGGAAAGAAATGACCACCTCAGAGTGTGTGTAGCTGAGTGGGGAGATTGTGTTGGGTTTGGTTATCGATTGAGCAGGTTCAAAGATAACGCCCAGGTGGTTTCCAGCGTGCCAAAGCGCACAGCGACCTCTGGGGGCCACAGGCCGTGCAGACTGGTATGGAAGAAGGATAAGACCTCTAAAACATACACGATCGTTTAAATGTGTCTTCTTACAAGTTCTCTTTTTCTTGTTTTTGATGACTTAACGTGCTCATTTGGGTGTTAACCTCCATTTTCCTGTGCAAATAAGGACTAAAGACTCATTTTAATGACTTTGGCTACATTCCTGTATGTTTTACAGCTGGACTGATGAGGACTACTGATAAATAGAAGATACATAAACCATCAAACATATAAGCAACTTTCTAAAAATGATTTTGTAATAGCTGGAGCAGCATCTGTTATTCTATTTAATTTTAGAGTTAATTTTGTTCATTTTTTTCCTCATGAAAGAGGTTGTTTTTCTTTATACTGACTCTGAAACTTAATGAACTTCCAGTTTGTTCAGGACCATCATACAAATCTGTATATGCATTGTGTAATGTGTTATTTGTATATCCCATCTCCTTTACACGGTGGTAACACTGGATTGTGAAACAGAGCAGTGCTTGTTCCATTTCTTCTCTATTATGAAAAAATAACTGTGAATATAATACAAATCAATATTTTTGCAGATTTTTTAATGGAGAAAATTCTGCAGAAAACACAACAAACAGTTGATCGGAGATGGAAGATGAGATGTGGCATTTGTTCATTCATAAAAAATGCTTTAATTCTAAGGCATTGTTGGTCTCCACTGTGTTCTGCGTCACCCGTAAGCAGTGCAGATGGCCGTCTTCCAGCCAACGTCAACATGGAGAGCGCAGTCTTACCCCCATTTGGGAGAAACAATTTGCCAGAAACACTACCAAATATAAAAACTATTGGCCGTCATAGCGCTTTACTTTTGCATCTCATCCACTTGAATTAAAGAGTTGAAATTAACCGAGTCCAAACACTCAGCAGCAGCTCCAGAGGTGATTGTGGGTGTAGGGTTATGGGTGGTACAGACGAGAGCTAATGAAGGCACAGCTGCATGAGTCAGATCTAAAAATGAGGTCTTCTCTGACGTCCGGTGTATTTTGTGTCGGCTCGAACCTCCCTGCAGGCCAACACACACACACAGCAGAGAGAGAGAGAGAGAGAGAGAGAGAGAAGAGGCGTTAGAAAGTGTTAGAAAATACTGCTAATCAAGAGGAGATTCAGTTAAAGCTAAACTTAAGCATGTTACATTATTTAACATTTCAGCAAAAGATCAAAAAGAGTACATACCGTCCTTGTCTTCTCCTCCTCTCCTTCTTCTCAAAGATCCAATCTCGTCCTTTCTTCACTGATTTCCCCTTCATGTTCTTGAACCGGCATCTTCACAAACACACAAAGTGGGGCTGATTAGCTCGTTCAAAAATATGCCTTGTTCTTTGTGACAATCTGCATTCAAAACTCTGCCTCTGATGCAAAATGTTTCACACGTCCCCCAGCCTCTTTGTGTACCCAGGAGGAGAAAGTTGAACATCACTATGTAAAAGGGAGGAAAAGCTGCCCGACAAAGTTTTGAGTCGGACAGGACGACGACCCTTTTTAAAATTTCTCTCGGTCTCTGGCGTCACCAAAGCAGGTATGACTGAACCTGCACTTGTCAAGCCCAAGACCTGCTTACTATCTGAATGACAAGTAATACCATTGTTTTAAATGGCAAATCAATAACGAAATAGGGATTAACCTCATCAGAGTAAAGTAGGGCTGCAGCTAACATTTATTTTCATTACCGCTTAATTGTTTGTGTTTAAAAACAAATGTTAATAGGTAAAAATGGTGATCACAATATCCCAGAGCTCAATGTATCACAAAGCCAAGTATTCAGATGATTTGTCTAACAGCTAACAGTCCAAAACCAAAACACTGTTCTGTATACTGTCAGAAAAGATAAAGAAAAGCAACAAATCAATAAAGATAAGATCAATAAGAAGCTGAAACCAGGAAATGTAAAAAAACTGTGAAAATCTACATTTGGGATATCTACAAAATGCTTTACATGCACGTGTTAATTTCAGCAGTAAGAAAATTAACAGTAAACACGTCAAGAAAAACACAATTTCATCTGACAGTTACGACACGACAAAATACACCAACAAACAAATAAATCCAGATAAACTCTGGTGACTGAAACAAACTTCCAACCACGTAAACCAATTCATTAAGATTATCACAGTAATCTGATTACTTAGAGTAAGCAGTGTCCGCCTGCTGTGAATATCCTTACCTTTGTCCTGAAAACTGGACCTGGTTTGAAACAGCTCTGTCTGATGTTTCTGATCCCAGCCCCTGAAACAAACAGAAAGAGATCACAGTGATCATAATGGAGCTGAAATGAAATACACACAGCTACAATATCCACCAACACTAACTCCTTTTCTTCTTACTTTGGGAAGGGCTCCTGTTGCTCCCGCAAACAGACACAGGAAGAACCTGGAAACAAACACGATGTGTGTTAAATGTGCATTTTAATGTGTAATAATTCATCACACGGCTAATGTGACAAACAGTCAATATGAATGCCATCTTGTTCTAATTAGCCTCGTGTTGCAAGTACACTGCTACTAATTTCACAGGTCATTAGGAAGGAATCAATTGAAGATGGCTGCATCTGTAAGTGTCAAAATAAAAGCCCAGCTTCTGATAGGTACTGACTTTTTAGCCTTGGTGCTGTTGGGGTAATCCACTACCATGCCTCCACCGAACCCTGCCCTCATGGCCTGCGTCGTGATCAGCTCAAGCTATAGAGACGAAAGAAGAAGAGTGAAGGTAAGATAAAGGAATCTGAGAACTCACTCACATTTTATGACAATCTGCTGCAATTGTCCCTCATTTTGTAATAAATGATTACATATTGTGGTGGCTATAGTTTTTTTATGAACTGTGTTTTGAATAAGCTGAAGCTTTTTGGGGAGCGCTGTCAAAAGACCACTGCAGTAGTTAACCGGCTACAAATAAATGTGTGTATGCATTTTATGTGGCTGTTTAGACCAAGATCAGAGTCAGCTGTAACGCCAAGGAGGAAACGACCATTTTGGTTGGTTATCACATAATGCACCACATTGATACATCTTTATCATAAATAGAAATAACCACCACAATATGTAACAATTTATAATATGAATAAGGATAATCATTATTATTTTATTCCCAGATGGGAGTGTTATTATATAAAAGTGAAAATGTGTTTAATTTGGTTTGCGTTATTACATAATGTGTTGTTATAATCCACCATCCATAACATTATATTACCTGTTCTGAGTTCTCTGGATATAGCTGAAACACTGCACGTGAGCCTCTTGACTGAAAGACAAAGAACAAGGAGAAGTTAGTGAAGGTCTTCACTGTAAGATATGGCCTCTGGATGTTTGTATTTGTGTCCCAGAAGTCGACGAAAGTGCTAAAAACTCACCAGAGAGGAGTAAAGAGTACTAAAGAAGGTGTAGAGTCTCTTTGGAGGACTGTGTGACCTTTTGTCGGCATTACAGAGCCACTGCAGGGCAGAGATACTGACAGGGAATGAAACAAAAAAGGAGAGGAAAAACTGAGTCAGAAATTATTCAACATTAATTAGCTTCTTTAAACACAAGCATGCTTTGTTCTTCACCTGATGCAACCGTCAAAGGTCCCGGGTCGGAAAGGCATCCCCTGGCCCATGTCCCCCACTAACAAGTCTCCCTCCACCTCTCTGTCCAGTGCAACATCTGTCAAATGGAAGACGCACAACGTCTCACTTTTTGTAAAATGTGTATGAAAAGATGATGCAAATGTTTTTTATACTTGGTATTTGGGGTTCTTTTTTATGTATTTACTTGATATAGAGCCGTGCATGCTCCACTAGGTGAGCTACAGTGTGCTAAACAAACAACAACGTGACAAAGGCAGAAAAGCTGAAAATGTTTGCTCGCACTGAAGCCGACGCTGGTCTGCCCCTCACTGCGTGTTCTTAAAGAAATTAATATGCAAAGCCCAGCGAGTGCCTGGATTTTTATGATGCACAACAAATGTGATTATAATGTTTTCTTCTTCTAACGTTCAGATTATGTGAGCAGCTGGGAAATAATTTGGGAAAAACATTCTTGATCTTAAGAAAAACAAACATTTTCAAACAGTACTAACATGATGGATTTTAAATATAACTAAATTACATTATTAAGATAACCAGAAAACTAAGATAATATTCAGTATAATTTCACAATATTAATATTATATTGTCAACCAGCTGTCACACTAACCCAGCATTGCAGTGCTGATGTCGACTCCAACCCAGTAGTGTCCCTCCTCTGACAGGTAGTCCCCACTGAGACCAGAGCCGCACCTGAGAGACAGACAGTCAACCTGAGTCCTTCACATCCCAAACACACAACATTACTGTATTATTCTGGATCTTAAAATGTGTCATGTTAAGACACAAATAATATAAATATATAAATCACGTGCCACAAACACTGCCAGACTATTACACAACATTTAGTTGATCTCATTTCATGTTTCCGTCATGTTGCTGCAGTGGTTCAACAATCTTAAAACCACTGTACTTAAAGGAAGTTTTGTTTTAATCTACACATTCAGAATGATAGAGGACAGGAAGATTACTGCATGTACACATAGTCAGCGTCACTCACTCACCCCACGTCTAACAGGAAGCACGGCTGTCCCTCTGGCAGGTTTAAAAGCTCTACGGCTCTCTCTGACATCTGAGTCTGGATCTCAATCATTCGAGAACTGTGAAGCAACAAAACACACAGAGCTTCTGTTACAGTTTGATATGTGACAATCTTTCCTCAGTGAGTATGCAGAGTCAGAGGGGATTGACCAACGTTTTACAGATAGTCCAGTAGAAAACACACTTTTTAATCAAAATATATAAAAATACCAATGACTTACAGGTAACGTTATACACTACAACCACAGATAATCTGAGCATTATGTTGGACATTGGAGCTGATGTGATATATTTGAAGTAGTGATTTAATGACTACCTCTGTGTGCTTTGCTTCCATGTTACAAACATTAAGACATTTTTACACATTAAGACACACTCTTGTATGTATTTGTGACAGTGTTTCATTCACAAAAGACACCTGAGCTGCTCATTAATACATAGTGTTATATATCTAGAATATGTGTTGACAGATAAGGTTGATTTCTCCTCCAAACACTGCGACCACAGTAACAAGTCAGACTCACTTCTGAGAGTATTTCTTGGCCTCTTCTTCGTTGTAGAACTGTTGGGGATGAGATCACATCCGGTTAATCCTCCAATAAAAACAGCCTCAGTTTGTGTCTCTCATCATCAAATCGATACTTTTAATACAGGACGGACACAAACAAACAAACCAGAGCTAATCCCACTATTTAAAGAAGAGAACAAACAGCGTATCATCTGGTCAACACTGGTGGTAAACGTCATCTAAAGGCAGTAAAGGAGACCTTTAAAGATCTAGCATTAGCCTAGCAGCTAAAAACCAGAATAAACCGCGACACTGACCACATCTGGAGGAGCTTTGTGTTCCGGCCGCCGGCAGCTGGAGGCCATGGTTGTCCCTCTGTGTGTGTGTGTGTGTGTGTGGAGATCGATCTATTATTATTATCAGATCACAAACTGAAGCTAAATGTTGTGGTGGCCACACGTGAAGACCCAATAACGTCACACGCAAGCGACGACGTGAGAAGTTCTTCTTCGTCGGGTTTAATCAAAGCAGCCCCGGTGACGCGTACATCGCCACCTACTGTGCACCAAGTTAGATTTTATGTTTATTAATATAAATCATTAAAATGTTTTATATTAATGAGAAACACATGTTGTTCTTACATTAATTCAGTTTTAGGTTTTATTTTTTTTTATTATCAAACAAAACATTAAAAAAAACATCATCACAGTTAGTTATCCATAAAATACATAAACAGAATTAAATGAATCAATAAATGAACACATTACACAAAACAATAGAGCACAATGTAAAGGTTGACATAACCCTGAGGTATTTTTACACTTAAGCTTTCTTAAAGATTTTGAGTTAAGTTTCACACTTTAAAAACATCTGCGTTTATGTATAAAATAAAACAATGTCAAGGCTTTGTTCTGCTTGATAAAACCAAGAAAGAAAGAAAGAAAGAAAAGATTTAAAACAAAAGCTGCCCTTGAGTTTCATGGCCATTATTTTCACAAAGTACTTAAATTACACCAAATTAAACCTAATTCTCAAAAACATTTCACAATTTTAAAATTAGCCTCTTTAACTTTTGGAAGTAAATCATAATAATAATAATAGTTATTAGAATAATAATAATAATAGTTATAATAATAATAATAATAGTTATAATAATAATTATAATAATAATAATAGTTATAATAATAATAATAGTTATAATAATAATAATAATAGTTATAATAATAATAATAGTTATAATAATAATAATAATAATAATAATAATAGTTATTATAATAATAATAATAATAGTTATAATAATAATAATAATAGTTATAATAATAATTATAATAATAATAATAATAGTTATAATAATAATAATAGTTATAATAATAATAATAATAATAATAGTTATAATAATAATAATAGTTATTATAATAATAATAATAATAATAGTTATAATAATAATAATAATTATAATAATAATAATAATAATAATAATAGTTATAATAATAATAATAATAGTTATAATAATAATAATAATAATAATAGTTATAATAATAATAATAATAGTAATAATAATAATAATAATAGTTATTATAATAATAATAATAATAATAATAATAGTTATAATAATAATATATTATTATAAATAATAAGCAGACAATATTTAAAGTGTGTTATTATATACCATTATGTCATACATAACTCTTTCTGTTACCGTTTACTGATTAATGATTGGTCGGGTAGGATAAGTACTTCCTGTAAACATCGACTCTCATTGGTTCCTCGCCGTGTGACGTCGCCGGATGCTGCAGCCGTTTTCCGGCATCTTCCCCGCTCCATACTCGGTAAAATGGCAGAGGTCGGTCAGCGGCTGGGGAGCGGAGCTTACCGGCTGTCCGCTCTCAGAAACAGCCAGGGCCGACCGGTGTGCACCGGAGAAAGTCCCGGAAGTCTGCTGGTTAACTGCAGCTTCAGTGACAGTCGGATAAAAGAGAAACCAGCAGCGGAGCAACGGGAAAGTCAACCGGTGGCAAAAAGCAGAGCAACACAACGCGAGTCAAAGAAACTTTACAGAGTGACAACAAGTGAAAGTCAGCAAGTAAATGGGACTTTGCCCTGTGCTGCATCTTTGGAGCTCGACTCACCCCGTTTCACTGGGTTTCCTCACACCAGAGAGAGTCTGCAAGCTTACAGGACAGCCCTGTACCTGTCAGCGAGACTCCAGCCTCTCCTCCTGCCTGGTAGGTTGACCTCCTGGACCAGAGGAGCTGTGTCCGTCCACCCCGACGCCTTCACGTCCCCTCAGCAGCTCCGAGCTTTCTGCACCGTCCTCTTTATTCTGGCCGAGCGAGGGTCAGAGAGGCCAGGTTGTGGGCTGAGACTGAGGCGTCTCAAACTACATCCCGATACCTCCCAGGCGTCTGCGACTAGAAGCTACAGCTGGAGGAGCAACAGGAGGACACAAGATGCTCCTCTGCTGTACAGAAGCAGGACGGCCTATTACGACGTCCTCAAGGTGTCCCCTGGTGCCACACAGTCCCAGATCAAGACGGCCTACTACAAGCAGTCCTTCATCCACCACCCGGACAAGAACCCGGGGAACGAGGAGGCCACCTTGCACTTCTCTGTGATCAGCGAGGCTTACACGGTGCTGGGCAACATCACGCTGAGGAAGAAGTACGACCGTGGTATTCTGAGCCAGTCGGACATCCAAAGTGCAGGGAGACCACCCTCCAAAGAGACCACGAGCAGACCCACGGGCTCCCCACATCAGCAGCAGCATCATCAACACAGAGCATACCGGTTCTCCCATACTGGAGGGAAGGTCAGGTTTGATTTTGACGCCTTTTATCAGGCTCACTACGGGGAGCAGCTGCAGAGGGAGAGGGACATGAAGGCCAGGAAGCAGCAGCTGCAGGAGGAGTACAAGGAGAAAATTGCCAAGAGGAGGCAGGTGAAATTGATAGAGATGACCGTGGCGATGCTGCTGACCATGGCCGGCCTAATATTAGTCAATATTAGGTCCTGAAGAAGAAGCAGCAACCGGACGTGTCCCTATGGAGGAGGTGGAGAGGGGTTATGGGGGTTAACCCGGATTTGTTTTGCAACTAAAAGCAAAGTGTTTGCAGAGTTTCTAACAGTTGAAGAGGATTTTATTAAGCATGGTGCTGGAGTAAACGAGAGCAGGGTCACTGTGTCTCAGATGTTTCATTCACAAGCAAATGAATAGCTTCTGTATTTCTTCACGTGTAGGATCTTTAAAGAGCATTAAACAAACATTATACACAACCTGATGTAAAAACCAAAAAAAGGGAGCTGGATCAAAAACAGTAACTCAAATTACTGGAAACCTGGATGGGATTATTTAATCGCTCTTTCAGGAAACTCAAAAGCACTCAGTTTATGGGTGATAAGATATCATATTTCACATTTAGTGGCACTTTAATTATAGAAATGGGTTTCAGTGTCGTATCACAATCTTTTTAAAGTTCAGATTTGTTCAGATGTTGCAACCATTCAACCAGTTGTTAAATTTCTATTTAAACCCTAATTTATTTACTTTCTATTAGTTTGAAGCCAAACAACTTTTTTTGGCAGCTTAAACTCAGTTCTGTTCATCTAAATATTGCAAAAGGATGTGAAAACGATATGCATTGTATCATGCCGAAGCAACACACAATAATTCTTCCTTTACCTACACGTTGGATCTGTAATGTAGAAGATTACTCTGAAGAGTAACATTCTTTCTTATTAGTAACTGAATGCACATTTTGATGCCTCCTTCCAGGTGTTTCAGTGTGTGTGTGTGTATATGTGTATGTACTGTACAGACAAGATGCCATATTATGTCAAATAGTTTATTCTGTGTAAAGGGGAAACTGTATGAAGTGAATACAATAAAACATTTCTTCTGCAGTGTTATAAGATCTTACCTCTAGAGGGCACCTGAACGCATCGAAATGATCTCTGGGTTAACGCTGGAGGATTGATGGGCTCAGTGAGTTTAAACTGTGTGGGATGATGTTAATGCATGTTACGGAGGTCTCAGCCTGCCGAGAGCTGCTGCTGTCGTTGTTGTTGTTGTTGTTAACAGTATGTCTTTATTCATCCAATTTCCCTTAAGATGATACATATTAGAAACATCAAACCTGGCAAATGTTCAAACTGTCAAACACTTGAAGCACACTAAATGTAGTATGACTCAAAGTGTTCACATATTAGGCCTAATTATAAAACATAGGCTGACAGAAATAAAAGAAAACCAGATGAAACGTTTCACACACAATCTTACTCTCACACAGACGTAAGAAAGATGAGACACTTTAATCTCAACAGTTCGACGCCCCATCACTTTAAATGCTTTATCAGATTATGTTCGCAACACTAAAGCTCTTCACTTCTCTGAGCCTTTAATCTCCAACGTTTCAGTCCGAACCCCCAGATTTTGACATTCATGAGTGACTGAACTGCATAAAATAGTTTGTTTGTTCACATTTTATTCACAGAAATATAAAGAAGTATGTCAAGTACATCACTTTGTACAAAATTGCACAGACTCTTCAAAACTCAGTCAGACAACAGAAAATTTAGCTTTAAGAAGTGTTAAGAAAATAAAAGGGAGACATGAGCAATCTGTGATATGTGAGATGGGCTCTTGCAACGGACAGTTTCCACTGAGGATGTTTCATCAAGAAGAATCAATCAATTGTACATAAATAAGACTCAATAGGAAAAATGTAATTTACAACGGCTGAGGAATAAATATGTTTCAAAAATAGGATTCAAATTGGCACATTAACTGCTCCGTCCGCTCCTCGACTGAAGGTGACACTTCACCTTCGAAGCTAAATGACTGTGCTTGAAAAGACAGACTGATATGTTTAGTCCAACTGAACAAAAGTGTTGCATATGTTTTTAATACAGGAGCTGAAAGGTGTTTTCAGGTGTGTGTCTAAACATGCTTTAAAAAGCACCCGGCTAATGTAGCTTAGCACAAAGACAGGAAGTCAAGGAAACAGCTCGCCTGGCTCTGACCAAAAGGAATAAAATCCACCTACTAGCATCTCTAAAGCTCACTTATGTGCATGATATGTGTCAACCACACCAACAGATAGCACAATACCCATTGATTAGTGAGGCCCAGAGGTGCTGGTAGGTGGAGTGGGAGACTTCCAAGGGTGGAGACTAACTTAGCTGGTTGGTTTGGCATGTGTATGACTGGTTAACCACACCACCTCCATTAATGAGCAGCGCAGAGCCGTTTCCCTGAGTGTTTCTGGGGGACCTTCAGGGGCCGATGTTTACCCCTGTTTCCAGTCTTTAAGCTAAGCTAAGCTAACCGGCTGTTAGTAGTATAGCTCCATATTTTTGACATGAGATTGTTTTCTCATTTATGCCAACTCTTTGCAAGGAATGCGAATGTCTTAAAATACCAAACTTCTCCTTTAAGAGGCCATTTTAACTGGTATTTTATATTATATGTATATCTTGGGCCAATTCTTTGTGGTGAAAAATTTAGGCTTTCTTTTGAATTATTAACTTAAGCTTAAGTTCAGTACTCAGCATAAAGTAAAGCAGCAACGTCACGTCTTTCTGTTCAAGCATGGCCATCAAGTACCCTTAACCTAACTGCCCGTACCGTTCCAGTCCACAACAGGCCGCACAAACAGTACATAATACTGTCCCTGCTCTAAAAAACAAGTCCTCAGTCCCTCCGATAAATGCTGGATTTGGTATAATAATATCTTAAAGGCATTACTTCAAAGTGAACTCCTATATTAACAGCATATCTAATCTACAGGTTATTGATATGATAAGCTTGAATACAGAACCAGCACCAGATGGAGGGACCTTGAAAACCATGTTTTAGAAACACAACTGTAGCACATCGATCATTGAAAAATATTTGGACTCTAATACACCACCACACACTCATAGAAATAACCCAGTATGACAGCAAAATGGGAGCCACGCTGCCATATTCGTACAGGCTGAACTTGTGTTGTTCATAGATCTGTAACACGACATGTGACCACCTGTGTGTACGCTGTAGCCATCAGTAAAACAGTGAGAAGAAAACCATTTCAGTATGCATAGATATGCACGTTCAGTGTGTTTTGAGCAGAAACTGAAAGTAAAGTAATCACCTGCTTTTCATTTTTGGGCTTTTTGTGATAATGCGAGATGTCAACACCATCCTCCTCGTTACTATGGGCAAAAGTCTGTTCAAGTCCAAGGAAATTGTCAGGCACTAAGACCCTTTAGGCTGTACACGTTTTAAGAAAACATCTTCGAGCTAACACCAACACACCCATGATTGCTGTACTGATGTTAGTGTAGAGCAGAGACCCAGAGCAGGACTTTGTAGGGAAACCCTGCGGGGACAGTGAGGATATCCGGGACAGACTCAAAGCAGCTTTACAAACATTAACGGGATGCTCTCGGGAGCTCTGAGGGGAGGGACTGTTTCTTCAGGGTCATTTCTAACTCTCAACCCTTCAGCAGGGTGGTGACACAAGCTCTGCTCCTAGGGAACTGTGGGTAAAGGGTGAACAGGAAGTGGTCAGAGGTGGTGAATCAAAGCCATATGACTCAACTGGATGACTTCCTCTTGCTTTCTTTTCCTACACTCATTTTCATCGCTACTTTTTGTACATCTAGGTCTTGTCTCCGGCTCCATCTCTGTGGCCTTCTGCTTTCTCTGTTCAATAACATTCTTGACAACTGAGTTTGAAACTAAGCCACAGAGGGATTTATCATCGCGGACACTGCTTGGCATGATCCCCCCCCTCTTCTAAAATCAGAGAAACAGGAAATTGCCTTGAAATAAAAAAAACAAACAATGGGTGATCCAGTGATTTGGACCGTTTTCATCATCAGCAAAGCGTCCCATGTCACCTCCAACTTTCTGCTCCTCATCCAGTCCAGAAAATACGAGCCTGAACCCTGCCCTGGGCCATTTAGTAGAAAGAGTACTGGTTCTCCACTGCTCGGGCCCTGCGAGTCCCGTCAGCGTCGTGGTAGTCCTCAGATGTACCACTAGAGGCCTCCAGCAGGCGTTCAGAGCTGTTGCTGCGGCTCTGTAACCCTCCTCCTACTCCTCCTCCAGTACCTGGGTCACTGCGGGAGAGAGAGGGAAGGGCGGTGGGTGAGGAGGAGGTGCTTGAGGAGAGCGGGGCATCAGGAGGGGGCCCTGCAGGCGCTGTGATCCCGGGAGGGTGGAGAGCTGGCTGGGCTGAATCTGTCCGGCAGCCCGCATCCCTGGGCGGGGTGAGGACGGGAGGCACGGTCACGTCTGTAGCAGATTGTAGGAAGAAGAAATAAATCTTTTCAACAGAAGATTAATAATATCAATGAATCTATATTACTAATAATTATTTGTTGCTTTTACTGCTGCTGGCAAAAGTCTCCTTCATAGAGCACCATGTAAACACAGACAGTGTGGGCCTCCTTTATTGTCCTTTCTCTTGGGGAGCAACAACACTGACAACACTATTGCCAAAGACACGCCTGACCAGTGTATCAGTAAAGCCTTTTACGCCCTGAATCAAACCCTCACTCTATATAAGTGCGTATTTGGTAGTGAGTGCATGAATGTGTGTAGGTCCAGCGTTTGGGGAAACAGAGGGCCTCTTTGTGACCACCAGGGTGGGTTGGGGGCGGAGTCTCGGCCTGCATGCAAAACTCCTGTGGCATAATCGCCCCCTCACTCTCCTGTACAGGAGGGCATTCATCCCATGCCAGGAGAGCGAAGGGCAGGAGTGGTGTTAGTATGGAGAAGGAGCAGGAGGGGGGAGGGGCGGAAGGTTCAGTGAGTTTTAACTGTGCTTCCTTCGTCTGTAAGAGCAAACCTCTGCCATCCATCAACACATCAAACTTTCTGGAAGTTTTTAATCACCCTCTGTTATCCTTTGGCGACCCGAGGAACGATTATCACACTGACACTTGAAACAACCATCACAAAAGCTTGAACACCCAAACATTGTAGCCTCGTTGATTTTGGTTTAGAGGTCCCCTCCACTCAGAAATGTTATTTTTCTTCTTGTTCCTACAGATGGATATTTGATCTTCACTGTGCAGAATAATGTATGTGCAGAGTTTGACACTAGAAGGATGTTTTCACATTCATTTGTGCTCATTGGAAATCAGATTTTAAGGGGCAGGGCCTACGAGCATGAATTGAGAATAGTTTGAAAGTTTATCATGGTCCAATATGCAACTTATACTTAGTGTGATGTAGAAACTTAAATTTGCCAGTGCACTGAGAATGGATAACATTTGCATATTTACAGACTATTTTCCTTTTAATGAGGTAGAAGGAGTCAAGGCCTTTTTAAGGATTGTAATGCAGAAGATATCACCTCAGACACACATTATTGTTCCAAGCAGACTATTTGTATATATATGTCTTAATACATGTCTGGAGGGGATCTTCAAGTAACTGAACATGGACAACTGAGGCAGTTACAAGATAACTGTAAATGCTAAAACTCAGTGTAACAGTAGCACCAGTATGGAAGACCGTAACATGTCAGTAATGTTAGTTACACAGCAACATTTAGCCTATGTTTGCATTAGCCCCCACTAAATGGAGCAGAACCGTAATTAGTGTAATTGGTAACACCTGTGTTTACCCCACTGTTTTATGTCAAAATGGCTGCTGTGAAAAGCGTCTATTTACAACTTTACCATAAGGAGACTTTCGTGAGGTCAGGTAATTTCCTGCGTGGGTTTACCCAACAACCTGAGCTCATTAGCTGGAATATTTGACAGCACCTATATTGGAAATGCAGGGAACTTAACTCAGTCTTAATGGTTTCACTTTTCCAGCACACCTGCTATTAGTAAAGCACTAATTAAGCACCTAATTAGGACATTCTAGCTGCCAAGCAGTGAGCTTTTAACTACAAATATTAGGCTGTTGCATGATAAAAAATAACACTTTGACATCAGCTGTTAAGTTGAAAGATGTGGGTTGTTTGGCCAATAAGCGAGCTCAACATCTATGACCTCTCCAGTTAAATCTTAAGTTCTGACTCGTGTTTGAGCAGTTCATGTTCATGTGTTTCGTACCTGTGGTGGAGCTTCGCTGTACTTGCACATAGGAGCGTAATGTGATGTCAGCCGAGCCTCCAGACTCGAGGGGGATAGGGTGGGCGTGGAAATGTCTCAACATGTCCGACACGGTGTGAAACCACAAGTGGTGGACGTGGCACTGCCCGTTCTCGTTCACTGACAAACGCAAATGCTGGAAGGGAGAAAGAAGGGAAGACAGGACATTAACAAGAGACAGAGAGTTTTAAGATTTAAATGAACACAGAGGGAGAGATAGATGGTGAAAGAGGGAGAAAACACAACACAGTGAGGCACAGTGAACATCTGAAACAGACGGACCAAGACAGAGGTCAGGACATTTCTGCGAGGCTCCTCTCTGTGAGAGCAAGGCGACAGAATGCCAAGGCTGACACTGGAGGAAGAGGCGGCAGCTGACACTTCCTCAACACTGCCGGCTGGCAGGATGTGATGTGAAGGGATCACGTTACATAAGAGCACACAAAACATTGACATTACTGCATCTTTTCCAGGGCCTGAACAACTTGGTCTGGTGTGAGCTGCAGTGACTGCAAGATTTAATGCTGCTGCAGAGCAGAGCTGCAGCTAGGGGGAGAGAATAATGTATTCAAACAACTGATTCATTTTTTAAAGAACACAAAATCCATCAATGACAATTGTTATAACCCATATTATTAAATGTCATGTAAAAATAAAAATAAAAACATTTTCTGGTTTCTGGTTCATTTTACTTTAAATTAAACACTAATATATTTGAGGTTGTTTTGTTAGTCAGACAAAGTGAAGACACAACCGTTGACTCTGATAACTTGTGGTAAAATTAATATGTAAACTACACTATCAAAACATTAACAAATAATAAAAATAAACCCTAATCTACACATCGCCCTCGCCGAGTTAATTTACAGGGAGTGAAAGATTCAAACAACATGATGTCGTTTCTCCTCTCTCTTATCGTCTCACCTTGGCTTTGCCCTGAAAGTTGAAGGTGAGGACGTACTCTCCCGGCCGAGTCTCACTCTGACGAATCACAAAGAGCCCGTGGCTCCTGACCCCTCCTGCCAGCACCAACTGAGCTGCACGCACGCGGGACAGTGTACCATGGAACCATGGGTAACCTGCAAGGCTGGCATCGCCATCTGACTCTTTTGCTCCTTCACTGCCACCTGAGCAAAGTTAAAACACATCAATGTTTTTTTCTCTTTAATCTTTTTTCTGTGTTGTGTGCTGTTTGATATTGAGTGTCTGGAGAGTAAAGGAAATGTATGTTATTACCTGCAGAAGAGTTTGAGCCCTGGGCCTCTGGGGACTGAAGGAAGCGCTCTAAAGGCATGTGGGATGGGTGCTGGGTGAAGGGGGGTTCCCTGCAACGGACTGAGGGGGCGCTGTAATGCTCTGCTGCTGTAGGACACGACCTCTCCGGAGCACGATACACACCTAAACATATTTTCTAATATTTGAACACATTCATGTAAATCAAAACATTTGAATGTTATGTAACAGCGGGTTTGTTTTTGCTCACCCTCAGACAGCAGCTCACAGCTGCATGAGGCCACCATGGAGCAGTCTTTGGAGGCCTGACCATGAGGACACGACGCCAGCTCAATGTCATCGCCGCTGTCCCTGTACACAAGCAGGCAGGTCAGGAGAACCGCAAGAACGTATACACATGCATGCACACATGCAAACAAACATCACAAAGTCCTAACACACAACTCCACACACATCCACATCTTACAAACACGGACACAAATAATCCTTCTGTTTACGTCCTGAGCTGCACCGACAAATGTCCACTAACCCAGGAAACTGAGGAGGAATGTCAGTGGTGCAAACTCGCCCATGTTTGTGCTAAAGCACCTGTCAAAAACTCTACTAATTTGATGATTAATGACTGTGTGCGTTTCCCCTCCACCCTTTTCCCTCTTTCTCCATCCCTCTCTGCTCCCCATCTTCAGCCAACAGCAAATATTTATCTGGTGGTTTACCCGGGGTCTATGCAGTCCTGGATGTCAGCAACCCAGGAGTTTTTCTGCAGGGAGTCGATGGTTTCCAGGATGTACTCTCCCCCGTTTTCCACCTGTGGAAGCAGCCAAACACAGCGATCAGACACTGAGTACTGCTGAAAGGACCACATCAGGCTACAGAGGACGTGTTTTTGTATAGCAATAAGGCAGGTGTGTTAATGTGGTTGTGAAATGGTTGCAGTTACTACCTTAAGAACAAAAGTGTTGTCTTTGTCAGGCATCTCCAGCGGCATGGTGGTCCTCACCTCCACGATGGCTGACAGAGGGATGCTCACTTTGGGCTTTGAGGACTGAAGTGAACATGCAAACAGACACGGAATAAAAGTCACATTTAGCTTTTCTAGTGATATGTGGTAACCTAGACATAAATTGAGCAGCTAACAACGGAAAGACATGCAAACTGTAACAAGTAGACAATTTTTCCTTTACATATTTTCTAAATCAGCTTCAAGGTTTTCAGAATGAGTTACAATAGTTTTGGTTATTTCACAAGGATCTTTATTTTTGATTGTTACTTATTTAGTCATGAATATTTATTGTTTGTTTAGTGTTTGCATATCACAGTGGATCGAGAAACACATGTAATAAAGTATCTGCTCTAGAAAACAAGAAATGCATCACTCCCTGGGTGGTACTATAATTTTGCATCAGTGTGATCCGTGTGCATCAGCAAAAGACAGAAAGGTTCAATTAAATCTTTCATTACATCCTGTAGGAGGCAACTGCAACACTTGTAAAAGTAGAAACTTTATAAAAAAAACCCGAAATAGAGCTTTAAATTAGTGGTACAGGTTTAAAGTAAATAGTACCACTATCTGTTTTGAAATACACCCAGCTTCTCCCAACCCTCAAAACTCCTCTTTAATTAAGGGGCAACATGCAGTCTGAATTACTGCCACAGCCCGAGTCGCAATGAACTACACCCCCTGTCTCCTGAGATAAAATCACTTGTTCAAATAAAATAACGCCAACGTTAAAAAAACAGTCGAGAAGAGTGTATAAAAAATTGCACAATCCGCAGAAATTACTCCACAGCTCAGATTTTATGCAGTCTCTCATTTTCTCATTGCGTTTCTCAGCAGTTATTCGTGCTGACTGACTGTAACAAACATCAAACAGGAAGAGTTTACAAGAGGGTGAACACAGAAAACATCCTGGCCTCCGTTTGCCCTCTGCAGAGAGTTGGATTCAGACGATAATCTTAACAGATCCCATGAGAGTGTTTGAGGCGGTGATGTGTGTGTGTGTGTGTGTGTGTGTGTGTGTGTGTGTGTGTGTGTGTGTGTGTGTGTGTGTGTGTGTGTGTGTTATTTCTGTGTGTGTCAGGAGAGACAGAGCGAGAAGGAGGCTGACTGATGGCCTGGCAGAGGCTTATCAGCTGATCTGTCTGGAGCAACACTGTTCTCATCTTGATCTGCCTGTGCAGCTGGCTGCCATCCACGCCCACAATTCCTTTCGTTGGATCAGATGTCAAAAATCACTTCCTGTATTAAACCGTTTGACCATTTCCTGTACCTCTCCACTGCGGACAACACAGCTTCACTGTCTCTTGAAATCTTTAGTTGGTGCACATGACTATAAGCACTTCACCACACAGCTCTTATAGGAAGTACGTAGTTGGTGTGGTCAGTTTTTTCTGTTCTGTGGGAGGCATTTTTAGATAAAGACTTAGCTCACTCAAATGACTCTTACCTCCAGAGTAGAGACAAAACAATTATTGTTTTGTTTCGATTTGGTAGCAAACAGTCGCTTATATACACATGGAACAGACAAACAGCAACATTACCATGAATTGGTTGACTTTCCTTTTAGCTCTGTTTTGGTCTTCACCAACTCCTGGGGTAAATGTTTTCTGATCTTAAGATGCAAAACGCTTCACTATGTTCACCAGCGAGTCACTCTGTCATTTGGTGCTTAGCTGATAGTTTACAGTTTATGAGCTTTGTTGCTGAAAACAGCCATCTGCTATGTCTATGAGAGCGGTGAGAGTGAATCAAAACAGTCAGGGTGAGGGGCATAAAATGAAAACTATGAGCTGAAAGACACAATAAATAAGATGGATATCTTCAAAACTTGAACCAATAAAATGAAAACTATCAACATGGTTATATACCACAAATGGTTATTGAAAAGGAATATATGTGTTTTTGCCATTTAGCTGAATTGACCTTTTAAACAATAAGACACCAACCAGTATGGGAATTTTAGAGGCATCAAGTGATTTATTTCTGAATTAGTGAAATGGTCTTCAGATCATCTTAAAGGTTCAGTGTGTAGGATTTAGTGGCATTTAGCAGTGTAGTCAAGAAAATCAGGCCAGGAAACAGCAAAAGTAGCCCAAATATCACTGGTAGCTTTTAGTATTTTAAGGCAAATTTGGATATTTTTACATAAAGCATGCTTTCTTTTTTAAATTATGATAACAAACAATTCCTGTGATGTGTTTTAGCTACTCTCACTCATGTAGTCATTGCGTGTTACTTTGCTTGGTGTGAACCAGAGAGTGGGTCGTCTCAGGACCTGCTGCTGTGTCATAATGCAGGCAGTAAGCGTGCTGCAGTGTGCTGTCTCTGCCATGCAGAGCAGCCGGCAGATTGATGGCCCTGACAGGGACGGAGCCAGAGCCAGCCAGCCAGGAGCAGGCAACAGTGAGATTTTATGAGTCAGTTTATCTTTCCGACACTGTTGACTCTGCACCGTTATGATTTGTAAGACCTGAATAGGACGGCAGTGATAAAACAACTCCGAGTGTCTGCAGGGCAGGCCTGTCGAGATGTGTGAGTTTAATTAATGTGTCACTTCACAGCAGCTCTGAAGTTTCTCTTAATCTCACCCTAGTCCACAGCTGATAATCATTTTCCCACGTGTGGACGTTAATAGAACATAACAGATGAAACTGCTTAAGCACAATTATTAAGTTTCATTTTATGTTCCCCTTGTGGCTCTTGCTGAGCTTTTGAGTGACTCAAGAAACTATTTTGGTTCCTATTTACAGTTTGTCACAGCAGACGGTTTGCCAAAGACAAAGAACCAATCAATATTTTATTTTTTGCACATGAAAGGGAATCTTTGCAATCCGCTCCCACTTACAGAAATCAATGTAACAGCTTCTCTCTCTCTCTCTCTCTCTCTCTCTCTCTCTCTCTCTCTCTCTCTCTCTCTCTCTCTCTCTCTCACACACACACACAGTCTTCGGTTGCCCCTTCAACCACCCCTCCCACGCCTGCCTCCCACCTGTCCTTACCCTTCTCCCCCTCTCTCTGCAGCCTTATCCCCACATTCCCACCAGCCATGATCAAAGGACAGTGGCAGATTTACACACACTCAGCTGCACAGCCTCGTGGCCTTCTTAAGGTCAGGGGCGATGATCTGGAAATCCCATATAGACAAATGTGAAGTGTGCAGGCATGCACGTGAGTGTGAGTGTGTGTGTGGTTGGACTTGGACAGGCTGTGTCACTCAAGGTCCCAGTGGTTGGATTTATATCTGGCATTCAGGAAGGGTTGCAAAGGTTGATTATTTTCATGAAATGTGAATGTGTTGATCATTTTATCAATCAGTTTTACAGTCTGATTTGGTAATGTGCTTTTTAACAGTGGATGAACAAAGTAACTTGTAAAAATGACTGTACCTGGAAATTAGTAATAATCATTTTATCCTAGAGGTTGTTCTGGGGAAAAGTTTAACAAGATTTGGAGGGCATTTTTATCGTTCAAGATGAAGTCATGGACTCTAAACCCCAACAATGAACAACGCAGATTTTCTTGCATTTTACCTTGTTTTCTGTAACAATTGTGGATGTCCTATATGCATTTAATAACCTATTTATCTATCTGTTTATCTTTTTATATTTTTGTCAGGCAGGGGTCGGTGGGAAAATCTAGCATTTGATGCAGTGGGTATGAATACTTGGAAAGAAATGTTCATTGAAAAAATGTGAGGTCTTCAAATTGATTGTTCTGGCTGACCAACAGTCTAAAACCCAAAGATATTTAATTTACAATAATATAAAAGAAAGAAAGAAGCTGGCGAGTGTTTTTCCTTACTAATTTCTGTAAATTAATTTGTTCAAATCATCAAATCATCCAGTAACCAGCTCATCATCTCAGCACCCTGTTTTCTGTCCTGTGTGTGTGTGTGTGTGTGTGTGTGTGTGTGTGTGTGTGTGTGTGTGTGTGTGTGTGCGTACCTTGGGAGGTACGTAGAACTCCAGAAGAAACCTCTCGCCTCCATCCTCCCTCTTCGTCTTCCTCAGCAGCAGGCGGCACTTCTGCCACTGCGCAGCGCCCATACAGTTTGTGTCATCAGCCACCATGTACCTCAGTGCTCCCTCCCTCTGGATTTCCAGCATCTCAGCCTTGTGGCCCTGGGAACCCCTGGGAAGCCGCAGCTTTTGGGACCACTTCTCTCCCCCTGCAGCCTCCCCACCTCCTCCTCCTCCCCCTCCTAACCCTCCCCCGTTAGCCTTCCTGGCTCCAGAGGGGCCGTCAGGTTCAGGGGAGGCCCGTCTGTGCCACATTTCCTTCACTCCGTCCACCACGCACAGACTCATGTTCCTCAGGGAGAAGCCCTTCTTGAAGCGAGCCTTTGGGTGACTGACCGATACGTCCTCTGAGCTGCGGGACTGTCCCAGAGCAGACACCTTGTGGGCCGTCTGGGGGCCTCGGGAGGCTGTGGTGCCACTTCCTCCCCCATCCATCCCTCCTCCTCCGCTGTCCATGCTGTCGAGGGATTCACTTGAAGCCCCGGCGTCCTTGCGTCTCTGGTAAAGGTCGTGACCGTAGGACAGTGGGCAACCCTGGATTCCCAGGAAAGGAACGATGCTGTACTTTGGCGCTGTGTTGGAGCCGTCTTCCCCCGGCGAGGATGCCTGGTTCTCCCGGGCCTGGGTCAGTGCTGCAGAGAAGCACTCTAGAAAGTGATGGGCAAAGTGCTGTGAGAAGCTCACATCGGCGCCTGGCGAGTCGTAGCACGGGTTCTCCGACAGGAAGCGCTGGAACTTGTCAGCGAAGTCTGCAGCGGAGGCTCGAGCATGGAGCTCACAGAACTCTCGCCAGTCAGGCAGTGGGCACGAGGAGGAGAGCTCCGGGCTACCGGGCACCACCGCTCCGTTCATCACTGGGCCATGCCAACCCACCGAGGAGAGGCTGGAGAGAAGGAAGAACAGCAGAGTGTCAGTGTGGATGAAAGCAAAATACTGCAGCATGTATTTGTGTAACTCCTGGCTTTAGACCAGACGTACAACAGTTGTGGAACAGCCTGCATGTGTGATGGTGCAAAGAATAAAAGATGTGTGAATGAAGCAGACTGCTGAACCAGCTTGTGTCTGTCATTAGAATATTTATGATATCTTGATGATGTGGAAAATTAAGTCCTTGCAGATTCTCTGTGACATGTGTTCATCAATAAAAAAAAATGCAATCTCTTTACTTTTTCTTGTATTTTTATGTCACAGTCTTAACTATTCCCACATCCCATAAAATGTCTATACTGAAATTAAATACTGAGATCCAAGAGACCAAAAGTAAAGTCTCAGCATCTTCTTGATCATTTGAAATTTGTTTTGCATTTGATTTATTTAGTTAATCGTTCAGATTTTCACAACATGAGGTTTTTGGTCCTGTGAAAACAACATATCCCAATTTCCCCCCCTTTTTTCAGCTTTGTGACAACACATTCTTCAGATAATTCAATGCATTTTAAATGGCAAATCTAGTCGAAGAAGTTGGAGGACTTTGGAGAAAAACCCTTAATATCACCATATTTGGAGATACATGGTGTTCAGTGGACATTAATTATTGATTGGTGTAAAAGTAGTCAAAGATAAATAGACCAGTGGAATCAGCCTTATATACCTTTAAAATGTACAATAAACTCCCTCCTGGTCTCAACCAAATTCTCCTAAAATTTCTGACGCCATGACCTTGTTGTCCTAAAACCCCGGTGACAACAACTGTGAATAAATCCACTCAATAAATCCCACATCGAAGCTCAAGATTATGCACTGGACTGGCATACCACTGAAGGTCTATAAATGACTTATCAACAGATTCAATGAGACAACAGATTGAAAAGAAATAATCCAGAAAATTTGAGTCACCATTAACCAATTGATAGTTTCTGACAAGCACTCAGATTATCTGAATTATCTCGCAGTATGTTCAGTCACAGCAGGTTAACAGCAACTTCAGACTGATCATACATTTCAGTTTATAAATCATCATTTGCTCAGTGTGCATCAAAACAATTCTTAATGATCCAAAGATTTGATGTTGCCAAATGAAAACAAGTAGGCTATTGTTAACAACTTAATTACAGCAGTAACAATTAGTCGATCCACAGGAAATTACCATTTTGATAATTGGGGTAAATACTTTTTTATCATACGTCAGCTGTTTTGACAGGTAATGTAATAATTTGCTTTAGTAAATACAACTTAACATTTGTATAAAGAAGATGCATTTAAGTCTTTAGTCTTTATTCAGAGGAATATTGTTAACACTCTTCAAGTAAGTTTAGAGACATGCTGCATATGAGTGTAATATACTTCAATTAGCTGAATGTACAATTAACTCAATTTACCCAAGTTACTTTAACAATAAATTCTCTCAAATCAAATATTTTCTATGCTTAAACTGTCTGAATTAATTGGTTTCCTCAAATTTGTTGTAGTTTAACTGACTGATCTGTTTTTATTGAGTATTTGTATAAGACCACGGTCGCTCTTGTCCACTCATCCTCTGCTCCTCAGCATGTGTGTTCGTATGACTCAGTCCTCAGCACTGCCTCCCTCTCCGGCCCAATAAGTGCCAAACCACATCACATCACATCACATCACATCACATCACATCACTGATAAAACTCTCCTCTCTCTGGACTGCAGCGGGGATCTAACAAGGAGTCATACCACCATTGTGTCAGTAGCAACATCCAAAGCCAGCTTTCACCCTCGCCCCTCCTCTCTCCTCTTTCTTTGTCTCAGCACATCAGTGACTAATACAGCATCAGAGGACAGCGTCGCACAATCAAACCCATGTTGGTTTGATTATTGTTGTCTGTAAATCACGTAGATAAAAGTGAGCAGGCTGGGTGACATACGCACGGGCAAGGCCAACACTCCCCAAGCTGTGAAAGCTTATTCTCCGAGCTGCTGGGCTCCTCTTGGCAGTTCGCTCGCAGTATGCGCTCAAATGTTTGCTTTCTGAAATTGCACTCTTAAACCAAATTACGCATACATGCAAGTGTTTGCACTGCAGACTTTTACTGGAATTTCTCCTGCAAGCAGCTTTATTGTCATTTTCCAAAGCATCAGTGTAGGTTGTCTTTTCATAACAGATTAGAGCAAAAAAAAAACTCTCCACTGGAATTATGTCTGACACACACATTCAACTACAAGCCAATCTCTCTTCTTTCCCTCTCCCACAGATCTGGAAAAAAAAAAAAAACAATATGCCAGATCAGAGAGAGGATGTGATAAGGGAAAGTACACAGGAGTCCCAGTTCTTTGAGAGACCATCTCTTAGTTCATCGTATACAGAGAAAAAACTCTTGGGTGCTGAGACCCGGTGTCAGAATTTCAAAGGAATTCTGTGATCGATAGAGACACTCGAAAGTAAAACAAAGGGTGCTATTAGAGAATAACTATAAAATAAACAGCACAAGAAAATGTCTGTGTGGATGTACCATAGGAATGTGCCAATACTGTTTCACTCCTTCACTTCACTTAGTGTGCAGAAGCGGGCAGTTGGGTCTCAAATTAAACAGTTTTGATTGGAGGCAAAACATTCAGCGCTGAGGTTGGCTGAACAATGTGTTGTTGTTGTTGTTGTTTTCTCCCATGTTCTGCTCCCAGGATGAATCACAACTAGGGATGTAACGTTACACTCATGTCACGATTCGATACGATTACTGGGTTCGCGATAATTTTTGTCTTTTAATAAAATGAGACTGAAGACAATTTATGACTGAAAAAGATTCCTTTATTTCTCAGACAAAAATCTACAGAATATATTTCCTTTTTAATTTGGAGGTAGGGTGAAACTGAAGTCTTTTTGCGCCTTGATACCAATAAAGTAAAGATTTGAATGGGCCTTTCAGTAAGTTGGAACATGTAGCTTATATGTGTGTTATCTTTAAGATCCCCTAAATGTATTTTACAGGATGTTTCTTCATAAAAGACTGTGATGATGATACTGCAGATGCCATCCAGTTCATGAAACCTCAGGGGTTTGGAGTGCTTCATGAATGTCTACTTCGTCATCTTCTTCAAACTTCTATCTGACTAAATCCACCAAGCCAAAGGCATTTGGTACCCTCTATATGAGGAAAGGAGGCCAAATATATAATATGATATTAACATATTTACACCGAGAGCACAAATTGGCAATTATGGTGCACACACTTTAAAATTAAGGTCACAAGTTATTAAACCATGCATACACTTTTTTTTCACACCTTTGACACCTCCAGGGGTCCGTAAGGAGGTAATTTCAAGTTGCGCAAATTTGCCTGATCATTATCAGGTTTCGTGGAATTGACTCAATTCAAACACAAAAATTCAAGATTTCAAGAAAAATATTTTTGTGCTATGATTTCAGTGATATTTAAGTTTTAGCAGAGGTTAGAATGAACAATTACATTGAAATTACCAAAGGCTAGATTCCAAATGATTTATGAACATTTATAACAAATTTATTACCAAATAGAAATAAAGAACACGGGCTAAAGGGTTTTTTCAGGGCTGGCAACCTAAAATGTGTTCTTATAATTGATCTACATAGCATTAGTGAATGTATTGAAAGCCTTTTAAGAGCTGTTAGTTACATCTTTGAAACCTTTTACAAAGAGTGCCTTATTAGAAAGTAGTACAGAGGGGAAAATCACTTTCATTCATGAATCCATCACTTCATTCATCCAAACCCATTCATTCCCTCAAGCCACACGAGATTTGTAAACTAAACTGCTAATCACCAAGTGTTGTTGTAATAATTATCTTACTCCCCTTGTGGCGTGCGTGTGTGTGTGTGTGTGTGTGTGTGTGTGTGTGTGTGTGTGTGTGTGTGTGTGTGTGTGTGTGTGCTGCTGCTGGATGTGAGGAAGTCAATACCCATTCAGCTATTTAAAAACCTGCACTGGGCCAACTTTCCACTCATTCAGCAGAAAAACAACAACACACGGTGAGGTGCATTTCTCAAACTCCTGCCCTTCCGCAAAGATGAGGATGTGCCTCTTTCAAGGATACTGAACTGACTGTATGCCGCGCCCCCACACACACACACACACACACACACACACACACATACACTCACTCACCGAGTCAGCATGAAACTCAAGCCATGAGACGCTAGAGGAAGTGGACAGCATTAAGGTTTTCTGAGGCTCAGCAGACTGAAGCAGACTACATACTGCAAAGCACACAGGGGGTATAAAGCAAAAATGATTTGCTGAGACTCGAGAGAGGGGCAGCAGTGGAAAGTAACTAAGTACATTTACTCAAGTACTGGACTTTACTTAAATACAATTTTAAGGTGCTTATACTTTACTTACAATTTTACCTCTATTTCAACTAACAATTCTTTTCATTATCGATTAATGGATTCGTTTGGTCCATAAAATGTTAACCACTGTTTCACGAAACTCAAAGTGACGTCCTAAAATGTCTTGATTTGTCCACAACCCAAAGATATACAGTCATAGAGGACTAAAGAAACCAGAAACTATTAACATTCGAGAAGCTGAAATCAGAGAATTTGGACATTTTTTCTTAAAGAAATAACTCAAAGCAATTAAACACTTGACGATTAATTTAATAGTTGACTATAGTGGCGCCCCAGGCAGTTTCACAAAGGCACTGATTCCCTCCAGTGCTCTTTTAGCTCTGTTTTTGATCTCCACCACCTCCTGAATCTGGCTCTTCAGCAGCTAAATGCTCCACTGTGTTCACCAGCTAGTCGCTAACTGTGTCTGTCTGCTGCTGGGTGCAGAGCAGGTAGAGTACTTTGAATACAGCTGCCTGTTGAAGCTGGAAATGAGAGCGGTGAGAGCAAAGCAAAACATCTTCATTCACTTTTTAAGTATGACGTTTTGAACGAAGGACTTTTACTTGTAATAACGTATTTTATATATATATGTGTCGGTAGTTAAGTAA